GGTAAAACATTTCTCTCTCTCTCTTTCTCTCTTTCTCTCTCTCTCTCTCTCTCTCTCTCTCTCTCTCTCTCTCTCTCTCTCTCTCTCCTTGTAAATATAAATTAAATAAAATTTATTGAGATTATCACTGGCTTCTTATACCAGTTAATTTAACGTCAGACAATAATTAAAAAAAAAATTAGAATTTTTTGTAAAAATTTAATTTAATAATTAATTATTTTACAATTTGTTGTTGTTTTTGTCGTTTTTTGTTTAAATAAATTTAATTTTCGCTTTACGAAATTTTTGAACAATTTCCCACGGTTTGACGCGGGGCGGGGGCGTGGGGTGGGGGTGGAGGGTTAAAAAATAATTAACCTTTTTTTTTTTAATAAAATAAAAACTTTACGTTAATAAACGAATGAATATATATATTTAAATAATTAAAATTGGGTCATCAATGACATTTATTGCAAAAAACATCATAATAACAATAAAATAATAATAATAATAATAATAATAATAAATATTCGTCGTTAAATATACGGAAGCGAGGCACTAAAAAAAAAAAAAAAGTTTAAAAAAAAAAAAATGGCGATAAATTTTTATTTATTTTTTTCGGTTATGGTTTTTCCAATCGATTTTCTTTTTTTTTTTTTTTTTACGAATTCGTAATTTGTTTAAAAACAACAACAACAACAACAAATTTATGCGAGTAATATAAATTTGTTAATGTTTTACATTAAATTAAAAAAAAAAAAAAAAAAAGGAATCCATAAAAAAAAAAAAAAAAGTTTTTTTTTTTTTTGTGAATAATCTTCTTAGAGCATCGTCCTGCGATGTAAACGAATTAGAAAATAAAAACTTTTTTTTTTACTGCTTGCGAAACATGGCGGAATACCTGATTTTTTTTTTTTTTTTTATATATATTCCGGTGCTAAACACAAAGAAGAAATACTCGAATTAAAAAAAACATAGGTAGGCTTGTTGGTTGGTTGGTTGGTTGGTTGTTTGGTTGTTCGAGGGCTCCTTGTAAAAAGAGTTTGTACGAGTTTGGTGCCAGTTTGGTGCCACGATCTCGAGTTTTCACATTTCACATTATCTGCAACATTAACCGATGCATTTTAGTCTGGTTTTAAAATTCGAACAGTTAACAACCGATCGGTTTATTTAAATTATTAAAATAATTCGTCGTACCTAAAAAAAAAAAAAAAAAAAAAACGAACCTAACAAAAAGTTTTTTTATTTATTTGTACTCGTGTAAAATAATTTATTAATTTTTTTTTGAATTTAATTTTATTTTTCGCGCGTTTTTATTTATTTATTTATTTATTTTTATTTCCGGTTTATTATTTAATTTTTTTTAAAATTATTATTATTATTATTATTATTAATTTTTGGGTAATTTATTTATTTATTTATTTGACGTATGTCAAAAAAAATTTTTTATTTTTTCGTTTGTTGTTGTTGTTGTTGTTGTTATTGTTTATCTTTTCGATATTTATCGATAACGTTCGAATTTGTTTGTTTGTTTGTTTGTTTGTTTTTTAATAAATTAAAAATAATTAATTTTGTTATTCGTCGTCGCGTTTGTTTTAATTAGTAAAAACAAACAAAAACAACCAAAAAATCGTTACCGTTACATTAAATTAATTTTTTAAAAATATATTATATATCGGCTCGTTTTAATTTTAAAACAACCAACAACAACCAACTAAAATTCAATCAATGACAAACAGGAAATGACCGGAAATAAAAATAAGACCAGTTAATTAAATTTTTTTTTTTTTTTTTTTCATTTCGTTTCGTTTCGTTTGCCTACCACGCAGATATGAAAATTAAAACAGTTAAAATTATTTGAAACGTGATTTTCATTTTATTAAATTTTATCGTGACTGATTTTTATTTAAAACCGATAATAATAATAATTTTATTAATTAATTTATTTATTAATTTATTTATTTATATTTATTTATTTAATTTAAAAAAAAAAAAAGAGTGCCATGTTTATCAAATCAGGAATAATTTTATTGGTCATTTTTTCAGCCGTTTTTCAAGGTAAGAAAAAAAAAAAATTAAATAATAATAATAATTTTTTTTTGGTTTTGGTAACCGAATAACGATTGTATCATATAAATTTTATGACATTGTACCTCATTTTCCATTTTCGGGGAAAAAAGAAAAAAAAATGGTGGAAAACTCGTTTGGAAATTTGGGGGGGGGGAGGGCGGAGGGAGTGTACTCGTTCCTATACGAATTTATATTTATTTATTTTGTAATTTTAATAATCGTTGCGAAAATTTTCTTTCCTTTTTTCTTTTTACACGGTCTTTGTTTATTATTATTATTATTATTATTGTCCACCATTAAACACGACAAGGCTCTTATTTGTCGGGGTTTTTAAGTATTTATCCCAGGTTTCTACCCGATTCCTTAGGGACAAATACTCGAATTTCGGTGGTGCTACTTATAATATTTTCCGAAGAATGTGGGCCGTCCCACTTATTATTATTATTATTATTATTATTATTATTATTATTATTATTATTATTATCGTTGAGAAATTTAAATTTTTGTTAAAAATTGCGAAAAATCTTTTTTTTTTATAAGACACAGATACTTATTAGTACGAGCTCGTAAAATAAATTTTTTTTTTTTTTTTCGGTTTATAATTTTTTTATTTATAATAATAATAAAATAATAATAATAATAATAATAATAAGGTATTTGTTAATAACATTTATTTTTATTATTATCGTATTTATCATCATTATCGTATGTAAAAAAAAAAAAAAACTCGTTTATTAACGAAAAAAAAAGAAAGAAAAAAAGAGAGAAAAAAATTAATTACGTTTTTCTTCTTCTTTTTTTTCATACCGATAAAAAGCCATTATAAATAATAATAATAATAATAATAATAATAATAATAATAATAATAATAATAATAATAATAATAAAATTAACGCGATTCAAATAACCGGCCGTAATTTAAAAAAAAAAAAAAAAAAAAAAAAAAACGTAATAAATATGTCATTTTAAAAAGAAAAAGGGAAAAGTAATAATTTCCAGCGAGGCATCATCATCATCATTTTTTTTTTTTTTTTTTTTTCCCGGGAAGGAAAAAAAAAAAAAATTTTTAATATAAATCTTATCCGCCCCCCCCCCCCCCCCCCCCCCCCCAAAAAAAAAAAATTTTTTTTTTTTTAAATCTTATTATTTCCATTTTTTGTTTTGTTTTCTTTCGGGTGGGAAAAAATTCTCCTTCTTCCCCTTTTTTCCCCTTTTTTGCCCCCCTTTCCCTTTTTACCCCTTTAACCCCTTAAACCCCGGTAAAGACCTAAACAAACGGGTTTTTTTTTTAAACGTAAAAAATTTACGGGAAAAAAAAAAAAAATTAAAAAGGAAACCTTCCCACCCCCCATTTAAAAAAAAACGTTCCAAAATAAAAAAAAACTACCATTATTATAATAATAATAATAATAATAATAATAATAATAATTTAAAAAAAATAAAA